CAGTGCCTGGCAAGGAGCTGGGAGGACGCGGCTGTGGTGGCTCCTGAGCCCATCCTGCCCTGTGGGTTTTTCCCCCCCCCACTCTCCCCTCACTGTAGTTCAGGCGTCAGTGGAGATTTGGGGTTGGGTTGGTAGAGGTGGCCCCAGCCCCTGTGTGCTGGCGTGGAGGCATGACCTGGCAGCACCATCCCCATCAGGAGATGTGGTCAAACCCTTCCTCCTCCTGTTCCTCCTCCCATGGCCCTGCCTGGGGCTCTGCCATGTCCCTCTGGCAGCAGCACCGCGAGCTGCTGTCCTGCACCAGCAGGGCAGGTGAGCAGGATGTGTGCCAAGGCCAGGCGTGTGCCAGGCTCCATGTCCACGCTGTCCAGTGCCCACCATCTCACTCCTGTTCTTGGCCCCCACAGGGACAAAACCCCTTTGACCTGGAGTTTGACCAGTCCAACCACCTGGAGCCCGTCTTCAACTTTGAGTGCCCGACCCGTCCCGGTGAGCTGAGGGTGCTGCCTCCCCATGGGGGGGGCTCCTTGCCCCTCCATGTTGGGCCCTTTGCACTCCCCCAGAGATGTGGGGGGGCTGCCCTGGGGGTGGCAATGCTGGGGGAGAGGGGGGTGACTCAGGCTGTGCTTCCATGCAGACATGCCTTCAAGTCAACCCATCGATATCCCTGATGCCAAGAAGAGGAACAAGAAGAAGAAGCGCTGCAGGGCCACCGACAGCTTCTCTGGCAGGTTTGAAGGTGAGTGGGGGGTTGCCCAGGACTTCCCGGGGGTCCCCCCCCACAGTGTAGGGCAGGGCTGGGGCCCTCCTGGTGTCCCTAGGCTTGGGGACAAGGCCAGGGAGAAGGGACAGGTGTGCTGCCCCATGAGCTGGTGGCTCAGGTGGCCTCTCCCTTGGCAGATGTTTACCAGCTGCAGGAGGAGGTGCTGGGAGAAGGGGCCCACGCCAGAGTCCAGTCCTGCATTAACCTCATCACCAACAAGGAGTACGCAGTGAAGGTAAAGCAGGACTGCAGACCCAGCTCCCTCCCCTCCCTGCCTCAGTTTCCCTTTCTGCCCTCCGTGTCTTGGCATCTCCCAGCCCCCCATGACCTGGCGTAGGGTGAGGTTTTCATGGCACTGAAGGGCTGGAGAGGGGCAGGAGGGCAGCAGGGCCAGGCCATGCAGGTGGAACATCATCCTCTGCCACCACCCAGCTCCAGGACCTCGGTCCAGCCCCTTGGCCACGCTCCTTTCCCTGTGAATTAGGGCAGGTGGAAAATTAAATTAATGCTTGTGACACGTCTGGGGACTCGGGACAAGTGGGGGGTGTGGTGCCAGTGGGGTGACCAGCTGCTGCTGGCCCCAGGGAGGGCTCCTTGCCCCTGTAGGCACATGGGGCACTGGTAGCACCCAGCCCACAGTGTGAGGGGCTGGGATGGGCCTCATGTGAAAGTGCAGCCACATGAAAGGGGAGCGTGGCTTCACCCATCACCTGGGGGGGCCTTTGGGTGCCTCAGTGGGGAAACTGAGGCAGTGGGGAGGGCTGAGCGGTGGTGGGGACTGGGGCCAGTGGGAGCACCCAGCTGTCTCCCCACCATGCCATGGGTGGGGACCCCCTTGCCC